TCATTGAATAATTCGTTTAAAAATTTTTTCTTTAGGGAATAGGATTATTTTGTTTAGATTAATTAATTATTGTTAATTGATTAGGACAAGAGAAATTAAAACTTTAAATAGTGCACTCACCAAATATCTCCTTAATACAGGACATCAGGTGGATACATTACAATCATTCAAGGTAATTGATCATATGTTATTTATTAATTAGTTAATATGTAATTCATTGTTAAACAATATGGAGCCCCGCGTGGTGCAGGATCGTGGATGCGCACTTCTGAGGAGTCACATACTAGGACGAAACGGCCGTCCAGTGCTTCCACCTTATCCATGGTGGTCTAGCTTCAATCCACTCATGATTTCAACCTATGAAATTTGTATAAACTCTCCACAAAACCCATTCTGATAATAATCAACTGCTCACTAGTGACTGACTTGAAAAAAAACTCCTGGAGTTCTAGTGAGAAGCCGTTACCAGTGGAGTTCAACCAGGTCTGTTGTGAGATAGTAACTCACTGAAGACAATGGTGTACGGTGGCGCAACTTCGTGGATTGGTTGAAGTTAGACATTAACACCGTTGGATGCCGGCTCAGTGGTCTAGTGGTTAAGTGCTCGCGCGCGAAGCCAGTAGGTCCTGGGTTCGAGCCCCGCGTGGTGTGGGATCGTGGATGCGCACTGTTGAGGAGTCCCATACTAGGATGAAACGGCCGTCCAGTGCTTCCAGGTTTTCAATGGTGGTCTAGCTTCAACTGACTCATGATTTCAACTTGTGTAATATGTAATTCATTGTTAAACAATATGAATATAAATAATTTCCATATAAAAACATATATATTTAGTTATTTTATAATGTCATGATTTATATTAGATTCATTTAAATGAATTTATCATCAAACTGTATAAGCTTCACTGCTGAAGAGTCCTAAAATAGGATGAAACGGCTGTTCATTTGTTTCAGGTTTTCCATGATGATTTAGTTTCAATTGACTCATGATCTAAATCCTTAAAATTTTTTTTGTTAAAGTACTAGTTCCGTGAGAAAATGTGAACAAGGAATAACTAAGATGACTTAATAGAAAGATTAAGTAATACGAATAATAACAATAGATTTAGTAAATTGGTAACGAATTATAACATGAATGTAGGGAGATGACTAAAATGTTTTTGTTACAATAATTAAGGGTCATAGAAGTGTAAAAAAAAGTATAAATAAAGTGATATGATGAGTACTTATGAATAAAATAATGAGAATATGGGACATAAATAAAGGAAGAACGCAGTAATAATAATAATAATTAATGTCAAGGTAACGATAACGATAGGACGTACTTCCTTTGTATGTATAGTTCTGGCTTGAGTTCATGGATGATTGGAGCTTAGACTATTTTTTAGGAGTTGGTTACGATGAAATGTAGGTAGATTTGAACCAATCGTATATACAACCTTAAAATCAAACTGTGGATCTGTAGAATGATTACAGTCGATTAAGTGTTCAAGTATAGAACTCCTAACTGCCTTCCTATCGTCCTTGTAGAACCAAACTGGGACGTGTTTTCGTATTCGAATTCAAAGCGATTGCTAGTTACAGACAATGCGCCTTGCTCCACAAGAGCAGGTGAGCTAGTAGATGCACATGGAGGAGATCAGACGAGGAAGCTTATCTTTTATGGATGCAAGAAATAAATTTCTACTACTGAACGTTTCTCGCAGTTTTGCCGCATTGAATGTTTTTTTAATCGCTGTCGTTAAACGATTTATGATTACATCAGAAGTTCGATCACCTTTAAATTCCAAACTTATATAAAGGTTTTTCTTCGGATTGGAACGATTAGATTTCTTGTCACAACTACGTCTTTTCAGATTCATACATATGAAGCGGTCTGGATAGCCATTTTTCTTCAGAGTTTTCCTGAGGAATCCGAGTTCTTCGTCAGTGCATTCTGTACATCCGATGTATTCGATGACATAACGGGTGAATGGAGTCTCTCTTTCTGCTTAATGGAACCCAGCTATAGAAGTTGGTCAGATGGCCAATCCATGATATTGCGCCAACATCTTCAATTGTACCGAGGTAGACACCTGTTTCTACGCGACACGGAATAGCTCCACTGGTCACGGCTTCTAACCAGAACTCCAAGAATTTTCTCACGAAGCTAGTCATTAGTGAGCACATGGTAAAATGGTCGTGCAATTTCGTAGATTGGTTGAGGTTAGACATTAACACCACTAGGACGAAACGGCCGTTCAGTACTTCCAGGTCTTCCATGGTGGTCTAGCTTCAACTGACTCATGATTTCAATCAAAAACTTAACTATCTCCACAATGCCTAAACTGTTAACTCATTTTATTTGATGGTCTATATTTTGTTACTTTCAGTCTAAAAGAACATTCACAGACCCATAATTTGAAAGAAAAAAAACAGTCTGGAGTAAAGTATATTCCATAAAGAAATCCTTCATTTTGGACATGAATTCTTGACTGAATTTCCAATATTAATAAAGTGTCCTTGATCAATCATATTATGTTTGAACTACCTAGATAATTTCACATATATATATTCGATATCTTTTCTTTAACTTCCCTAACAGTTGACATGTAAATTTGTTAATTTCATAATACAAATAAATAAATATCAAACGGTTAAACTGTGGGATACATCATTTAGACTAGATACCATATAATATTAAAGTTATCTGTTTATCTTAGTGACAGGAATTTGTATAATAGAAAAGGGGATAAATTCATAATTATATTACCAATAAGTAAGTTAAAAGATTTACAATAATTAGGAACAAGTAGTCTTGTTTATTCTGGTTAGTGTTTTAAGCATGATTGTTATTTACAAGATGGGATTGCTATTCACATGTTTAACCCTTCTTCTTTGTATGGGCTTGAGATTAGCAGTAAATTTAGAAGAGCTACAGGTGAAAAAAAGGAAGACCAAAGAACACACTATTGAGAATTGAAAGCAGAATGAATAGTAACCGGAAACAACTGCAAAGGATTGACCAGGATAGAGTTGAATGGAGAATGCTGATGGGTGGTCTATGCTCCTTAACGAATGGTAATGGGTATAAGTAGGTCAGTAATGAACAAGTAGGAAACTCAGAGATATTTACTACAAAATAAGCTTAATTACACTCGGTTAAGTTTTAAAACAACCTGATTTTTTCAAAGTAATTGGGTAATAACTGAACAGGTTGATGTAAAATTGTTAGATAAGAATAAGTCTAACCAAAAAAGAATCATTTATTAGTCTTCAACAGCTGAATTCGCGTCATTATAATTCTAGGGAGTTTTTGAAATCAGTTAAGATTTGAGCTCATAACTTTTGTACATGAACAGACCAGATAGTTAAACTAATCTGAATGGATAATGTTTCACTTTTTGCATGATCTATATTCTCCTTAAACTTTACTTTGAACTTTGATTGAATAACTATTATTCAGTCATTGATAACAGTGATAATAATGTTCACCAGAAAATCAAATTCTTCTGAAGAGGATGACAACTTTTGTTACAGAAAATCTCCTACCCAGTAAATATTTGCACACAAACATAATCTTGATGAGTAGCAATTCCAACATTTATTGTCGCTCAATAGTTTTTAGAGGGAATAACAGTTATTCAACATAAAAGTTGGAGGAATGAAAATGGTTTCATCTAAAAGAATATCTGAACATGAGTCAATGAGTTTAGCAGCTAGTAAATATAAACTGCTTGTTATTACAAAGAACAGAGATACTCCATACACCGGTATAAATTTTGAACAAGATACAGAATTTCAGATCATCATCAAACGGGACAATAACAGACTATTACGTTTAGCAGTATTAGCGATGGTTTGTGTTTTGAAATCGAAGTTATGTATTTAGAAAATGTATGTGGTAAATATACCTCTCGTTGTGGTTATCCTACATTAGTTTTTAAATATTATCAATACATACTTTCTACTCATGTTCTATTCTCTTTGGTATATTATTGTAATAACACATTCGTCATTTACTTAAGTTTACATGTATATGATACCATTGCTTAATCATCTAAACCATCGTCAATTCTTTACATTTTCATGTTGCGATGAACAATCACTATTCATTAGCATGATCGCAGTCACTATTATTATAATTCGGCTATAATTATTTCAACAATTGATATCAATTTCTTCATTTCTTTGATATGATCGGCAACACTTATGTCCACTGTAATTAACCATGTTACAAACCATTTTTTAAAGTTTTTCTGTTTCTAAATAAGTAAAAGTTGTAAAACTATGGAGTGTATTTGTTACTACTTACATTAGATAAACTGAGTTATTTTATTCTAATTTTTTCTTACGGAAATATATTTTGTAAATTCACATCAAATAAAAAGAATTGATTCCATTTAACAATTTTTCCGATTGAGATCATGAATCGTTGAATGTTAGACCACCAATGAAAACCTTGGAGCACTGGATAGCCGTTTCGTACTAGTATGGGACTCTTCGGCAGTGTGCATGCATGACCTTGCACTCACGATTCAAACTCAGTACCTTAGGTCTCGTGCGTGAACACTTAACCTCTAGATTACAGAGCCGGTCGGCATCCAATGGTGTTAATGTCTAACTTCATCCAATTCAAGAAATTGTGAGACCATCATTTAACACTGTTTATACTACTTATATTTACATAGTTGTATTTTTAACGTAGTTGAATCTTATAATCAATATGATGAGACTATAATTTATGGAAGACCATTGAGTGACACTAAACTAACCTTGGGAGTGTCCACCTAATAACTAGGACTAAACAAGGGCTATAATTTACAACTGATGGTTAAGGTTAAGAATTAAATTTAGAGTTTTCATCACGAACTAACATTAATTATAATGCCAAAGCTCTATTTAACCAAATGTATGAGTGAATTTCACAATAAAACCGTTATACCTGACTGTTTCGTTCACAAATTATAGTCTCATCATCAATATATTATACATAAATTCAACAACAACAAAAAAAACACTTACACAATATTATCTGGATCCCAATAAATTAAATGACTTTGAAATGTATTACATTCAATAAATGAGAAATGAGTAAATTTACTAATAATGAATAATAAAATCCATAAAATATATTTTTTATTAAGCTTAATAAATTCTGTCTCAATAGTATACCAGGAATTCATTTCAATTGATGATTAAGAAACAATAGTAAGATAGATATATATATGTATATCAATCAATCAAATGAGTTCACAGGAATGTTATTTGTTTTTCATTGATCTTCTGTTAATAATTTTAACCATATACTACTGTTATTACATAATTGTTTCAAAGTTTCATTTGATCAACTTTATTTCGTCTTGGTAACTAAGAGAAATATTCTATATTAGTATTTAGATAATAAAATCTATTGAAGAATGACTTTCAATGAATAAAACTCAATCTATATATACATATTAGCCAATAAAATAAAAAACTTCAGTTGATTTTATGATGTTCTAAATTAAAATGAACCAATCTGAATGTTTCGTTTTTGTTTTGTTTTTAAAGAAGTGATTTTAATATTATACTCGTTTATTGAAATATTAATTCAATAGAATGATATTTTAGAAATGATACATAGAAATTAAGGAATTGTAACTATATCTAATAGTCTTTGATAATAACTGTCTTTATACATTGATCATGTGAATTGTATATTTACTGGTGATTAGATTAAAAGTTGATTGGTGAGACTATAATTTATGGACGAGCAAATTAGAGGCGTTTTAGTGATTTCAAGGTTACGGCACCAACTTCAGTGCTTAATGCTAACGTACGATCGGTTCACAGGGAATTTGGTACAAAACGTGATAATTGAATGGCTATAATAAATAAAACGGCGTGACTATAACTTATGGGCGAAACAATCAGGTATAAGATAATAGATCTCGGATTTACATCCATTTAGCTAAATAAATTTCTGGCATTAGAACTGATGTCAGTTCGTGATGAAAACCCCATATATAATTCCTAACTAAGGCAAATTACGATAATTATCGCGAACTGGATAATAAAAGCACCAGTAACACTGGTTGCAGCCAGGTACTACAATATATACGGATGTTTGGGGAGCGTACAGACTCATACATAGACTTGGTTATGTGTAGTTTGTCGTTATCCACCAGTAGTATTTTGTGCACTAAACAACGGGAGGGCACATAAGCAATACTGAAGCTATGTGGTCGAGGCTGAAAGAGTTTTTGAGACTTTATCATGGCTCCAGAGGCTGACTATTCTGTAGCCGTATGGATGATTTCCTCTACTGCATGCATTACGATTTTAGAACCTCTGAACCTCTTTTTAACCTTGACAAGTTTTTGAACCACGTAAAAGAAGTTTATCCACTTTATTTCTTTGGTTTTGTATAATATATTTCTAGTCTATACTGGCTGTTTACTGATTGGTTAATATTTCTCAAGCTGGCTTAAGATTCGTTCAAAGGTCACCCATAAATTAGAGTCTCTCTAGTTGGTTTACAGAATTTCTAGTAAGTTGTAATAGTTTATGAAGTAAAACAAGATGGCTGATTATATTATGAATGAATAAATCTTGAAAGCGTACTATTACGTTACTTATTGGTAGGTACATAATTATTATTCACATGGTTTGTAACTTCCATACTTACTTACTTACTTACGCCTGTTACTCCTGATGGAGCATAGGCTGCCGACCAGCATTCTCCATCCCACTCTGTTCTAGGCCTTCTTTTCTAGTTCCATCCAATTCTTGTTCATTCTTCTCATGCCTATCTCCATTTCCCGGAGTAATGCGTTTATTGGTCTTCTTCCCCTCCTTTGGCCTTCAGGATTCCAAGTGAGGACTTGTCTTGTGACATATTTGGGTGCTTTCCGTAATGTGAGCCCTGTCCACTCCCAGCGCTTCATCCTAATTTCTTCCTCTACTGGGATCTGGTTTGTTCTCTCCCATATTAGGTTGTTGCTGATGGTGTCCGGCCAACGGATCTGAAGTATTTTGTGTAGAAAACTGTTAATAAACACTTGTATTTCCTGGATGATTGCTTTCGTAGTTCTGCAGGTTTCCGGGCCATACAGTAGAACTGTCTTGACATTTCTATTGAAAAGTTTGACCTTGGTGTTGGTTGACAGTTGTTTTGAGTTTCAGACGTTCCTCAGTTGTAAGTATGCTGCTCTTGCTTTACCGATACGCGCCTTCACATCTGCATCAGATCCACCCTGTTCATCAATGATGCTGCCCAAATGTGTAAAGATACTCACATCTTTCAAATCTTCTCCATTAAGTGTGATTTGATTGGTGTATGTTGTGTTGTATCAAAGAATCTTTCTTTTCTCTTTGTGTATATTGAGACCAATTGCTGCTGAGACTGCTGCTACACTGGTCGTCTTCTCCTGCATTTGTTGTTGCGTTTGCGATAAAAGAGCCAGATCATCTGCGAAGTCTAGATCATTTAGCTGCATCCTAGATGTCCACTGTACCCCGCGTTTCCCTTCAGACGTTGACGTCTTCATGATCCAGTCGATCACCAGGAGAAAGAGAGAGTGTGAGAGTAAGCAACCTTGCCTGACACCGGTCTTTACTTCGAACGATTTTGTCAACTGTCCTCCATGCACGATTTTGCAGTTTTAATCCATCATAAGAACTCCGTATGATGGTTTGTATAGAATAATTTAATTTCTCTATGTAGACTAAACATCAGGTGGAGACTTAATTAATAAACCAGTGATAACTGGGAATATGAATCAGTAAATTTTTATTTAGTGAAATCAGTCTAAACCTGAAATTTGTAAATTCGATTGTTTATTAGTTCGTGAATGTTCATTACTGAGTTGTAAAAAAATTAAAACGATTAATTTATTCATCGCTCCTGGCTTTTTGATATTTGCTGAGATACTGTCGGATCATAAGACAGAATGAATCTCCGTACAAAGTAACTATAACAATATAAACCACTTTTCATAAATTAATAGACATTATGTGTCTACATTTTAACTAAACACATCGACAGTTGTCATGTGACTTATATGATTTATCCTTTATCATAGATCTTGAATGAAACAGTAAAGTGTTTTGGACGTTCGTTGTCACTTTTATTAATTAGTTTGACTATTCAAGTCACTTTTTCAAAATTGATTCTTGGTGAACAATAATTTAGAACGGATTCCAAATGAGAATCATGCAGTAAAATGAAACACTACTTAGAAATTTCTAATTAATTTCTTCTATGCTATGCCTATACTCCTCTACGAGGGGTAAGAGGTACAAGTAAGTTGATATTTTTCAATGCATGAATTCATTTTATTGACATTTTCTTTAACAACACTAAACATTACAAGCAAAGATGGATAGTGACTAACAGTGGAATCCAGGATGCTCATTTCATCCTACTTAGGACTTATCGGCTGAATGTACCTGAATCCCAGAGTTGATGTTCACCCTAAGACACGAACCAAGTACCGTTCGTCTCAAACGCCGTCACGTTATCCACTTACCTACTGAGTCCTGATAGCCACTTGATTATGCAATGGGGTAAAGTTTAAATTCATTTGATATTGTTTGTTTGAATCTTGCTATCAATCACACTATTTCAGGAATTCCTAGTTCGTATACTAATTCGAATACTTCTAATCATCATATTGGTACCACGATGATGCCTGTGTTCGAGACAATCTACACAGAATGTACATACATTATCAAGAAGCTGATCAATCGCAGTCCTAAACATTAATGGGAAGACTCAAACAAACAATACCAAATGAATTTAATGCTAAATATTTTATTATATTTCAACCAATATGAATCCATTTACAAGCAGTTGATTGAAAAGACTACATAGTCATAGATATATATTTATTAATTTATACGTTTAACAGCCTTATACATTAATAGGGGTTTTGTGGATATTACAGTAATTTTAATAGTTGAGATCATGAATCAATTGAAGCTAGACCATCCTGGACGGCTACTCAATGCTTTCAGGTTATCCATGGTAGCCTAGCTTCAATTGACTCATAATCTCAACTATTAGCATTTTATATGTTTGAAGGAAAATTCTAAGACTAAGCATTCTGAATCACATTAGGAAACTGATAACTTCATTGGTTTATTGTGGTTTACAACATAGTTTGCTTAGAAGAAATTCTTCAAAATTCTTCGATATATCTGTATTTTGGACCAAGAAATTATTAGATGACTAAAGGTGAAATAAAAAGTAATGTCATCATCTTTATAAATAGAAGAATCAATTATTTGTAGTCTATATATGTATATATAATAGTATGCTGTCATGCAAACATGTCATCAAGACATTGAATATGCAAGTAAAATGTTATCACATTACCATGGAATTATCAATATAAATAAAGTAATAAATGTGAACGAAAAGATCATGGAAACAAATAAAACACACCCTATCGTTTTAAAAACGTACTTAATTGAATAAGGGTGGTAACAGGTATAAACAGGTACAAACAATGAATTGCTTACATTAATTTCTACAAAATGACGAGTGAAATCACACAATGTTTATTATCTTAATAATTTTCAATATGAAAAGAAACATATTGTAATGATAAAATCATTTGACTTGATATTGATAAGGTTAATCAGTTTGAAAGAATTGATAAACTATTGTTACACAATATTCACTAATTAAATATGTAAAAAAAGGATAGAGACAACCGGATACCAATTGCATGAATAAAATCGTGAACTGATTTTATTTACGTCATCAATGAAAGCCAGGTAGCACTGGTCAGTTGTTACATTCTAGTATGAGACTCCACAATAGTATACCTTCAAAAACCTTAACTTAAACCAGACCCAGGACCTTCATTCTCGAGTGTGAATACTCACATTCTAGACCAAATGTTGCATATGTCTGACTTCAATCAATGAATATACCTCGTTCGAAATGAATCGAAAAATATTTCACAGTTCTTAAATGAGTTGTATATGTAGGATTCGAGAGCATCCGGAAAAAAATGATTTTGAGGGTCAAATAAATTTTTATCACATAATTTAACAATATTAAGTAAAATGTTTGTGGTATTTTATGTTTTTATTAAGGTTGTTTGACCGCTAACAATGAAAAACAGGAAAAGTATTTCTTCCTTCTTGATAGTCTTTATTCAAATGTATTTGGACTCGAGTGTTGATATTAATG